GTTATTCGTAACTATTATTAAACAATCATACCGTAATGGATATACATTAACGTAACGTAACCATTTAAAGAATACCGATCTTAAAGGGAGATGATGAGTGGTGTACATCACCTCATGTGACATTTAATCAAGTGATGAATAGATTAACCGGCCAAAATTATAATAATGTGGGCTGGAGATAGTATATGTCACTTGAGTACGCTTCACACAAATGTCACGTGATAATAATAAACATCACTCATCACCACCACAGGACTCCACACCTTATATGGCTTAAAGTATGTGGCGTATTTTTTCAAAAAAAGTGGAAGCATTGTTCAAATTCCGTCAAATTTCTTTTTAATTTTTTGATTAGTATAGCTGCGGGTTCTTTGTATTTCTATACTGTAGGTCTATTAAAATAAAGTTTTATTAATTTTTGCGCTAAAGGTTAGATTTTCACGTGAATTACATATTATTTTTTTTCGCGAGTGGTGAGTCGTATTCGTTAATCTGTTAATCGCATTTGAAAATTTCAGGCTTTGATGATCTCGATTTTCATTATAAAGTTAATGAAAAATGAAGTATAATAGATGGATTTTTTGATTTTTTGTTTACTAATTCCGCAATTACTTAATGTATTTTTTAAATTGTCAATAGAGTCTATAATTGAAACCTATAGATACACATGGTCCCAAAATTCCCGTGCAAATATCATAAATCATCTATCGACCACTTCATTATTTCGATCAATCACATTTACATAAGGCCTATCAAAGAATAACTTTCCCAGTAACAAAACATACTAATCGATAATTATAAATTATCAAAATATGCAATCTAGTAATAACTAAAGAAATACTTTAAAAATTTACATCGCTACCTATCTTTTAATACATATGTAGTAGATATATAGTCAATACATAACTGCGATTTCGCCTATTTCTGTAAAGCATTATACATGCGTATATAAGTCACATGCTTCTGAGTATGAAAGTATTCATTTTTATACATTCATCATAAATCACACGCGCCTAACTTAGTAATTTTGAAGCATTAATCTTGATTTTTCAATTTTATGACAAAATGCAAATATAGAATATAAACAAAACATTAAACATCAATATTTAGCAAAAATGACAAGAAATAATATAGAAAATTTTTAAAATTTGAAGGAATTGCAAGATTCAAATCAATAAACCTTCTAAAAAAATTCGATTTTTAAATAAATTGTTCCTGTAAAGAAAATGTGTCAAGAGCATATTAGCTTTAAATATTTTGAAAGACTCTTACTAAATTCAACACATTTCAAATTACTCTGAATTTTCGGTTATTCTTATCCCAAATTCTTCGAATAATTCCTCTTTTATGTAATGAAATAATAAAATAATACTTTCGGAAAAAGAATATTTTATTGTGGAACAATTTATCTTTTTAATTTGTTTATCAGGAAGATTCTTCCAATCACTTTATTCACGTTTTAAGTAATTAGCATCCGAAAAAAAGAAAAATTAATTGCCGATCCACGAGTCAATGATATAAAATGATCGACAACATATATTAAAAAGTGACGTGCATATAATTAAACAAAAATTCTTTTTTTTGAATGCCAAAAACTGCTCTAGTAAACCAATGAAAAAACCATGTCAATATTCAGTTAATTTGATTGAAGAAGGTGTATTACGTTCTGAATTACACTATGGAATATTTGCAAGGGATTGGTGGGTCTCCAGATCTATAGAAAACGAAGATAATAACGCATGTTCCTTTTCTGTACCTTATCGATTACATATGCGAGTAACTTGTATATTAAAACAACGGCAATTTCTCATAGCCATAGTACGAAATGAAACCAATCTACTACAACCGGGATTTATTTGTACAAGTGGTGATATAATGTCGGAAGTTTGTTTACAGCCGTCTACAGCAGTTAATACTGTATATAATAAGATTTTTCAAACAAAGACCGAACATTCAGGACCAGCAGCACTTGGATTTAATAACGAAGTTATTGTAAAAAAGTTGTTACGTGAAGTAGAATTTCAACCTTTATTTTTAAAAATTGGACAATATTTAGTTGTGATTTCAAATATCGGTGATTCTAATGGAAATGGCTTTATTTCATCTTTGATGATTACAATAAAAGGTAAAAGAAATCTACTACAACATATTACTAATGATAAATTTATTTTAGATTTTTATCAAGAAACAAATCTTATTTTGCATTATGAAAATGAATCTTCTAATAATGTTTGGAAGCAAATAGGAATCAAGCAACAAGAAAATGGGTCTACTTTATTTGGATTGAATCATACTTTGGGATTATGGCTATGATGTGTTTGAAGATCTACTAACATTAGTAAAACAAATTTTTTTACAAAAAGAATTATTGGTATGTTGGTTTGATTTCTAATAAAATAAAATTCTAATTCTAAACTAATTTTTATATTATTAGAATTCTATGATTGCTAGAATTTAATCTTTACGAAGACATCTTAAAAGAGGTTTTGAACGAGAATTAGTAATTGAAGAAAATGGAGAAACTAAACATAATTTTTGTATTGATTATTGCCTTTTATATACTTTTGGTGAATGTCAAGAAAACATAATTCACGCTGTAAAGATTGTATCGAGTTTTTTGTATTTTTTGATTATCTAAGAGAAAAGATTGACAAAGATCGATTAGAAGCGGTCAATGAAATGCAAGAGAAACTGAAATACTTTTTAGCACATCATGCACGAAAAACTTACCTAAATGATCAATTCAAAGCTACTTTATGAAATCTTGATCATGATGGTGCTATTTTAATTGCAGATTATAAAATGCGGATTTTACCACAAAGTGCAAGAGAAACCAAACAGGAATTTTTTGGCAAACGTGGTTGGACTTTGCATACAATTCTTCTTTTTACTCTAAAAGAAAATAGAAATGAGTTGAATATTAAAGCATATGATCATTGGTCTATGGATACAAAACAAGATGCATGGTTTACAGCATCTTGTTTTGAAGTTGTATTTACAACTATTGAAAAAAAGCCTAAATAGATTCAAATAATTTCTGATAATGGACCACATTATCATAACAGTGAATTAATAGCAATTGTATCACATTGGTATGATTGGTATAATATAGAAGTACAAAGTTGGTTATTTCTTGAACCCGAAGAAGCAAAAACAACAATTGATTCACATCATGCTTCTGTAAGTATTATATATAAATTATCTATAATTAACTATTGATTTACCTAATTTTTTATTATTTTAGATAGCTCATGCTATAAAAAGATATATTAGAATTGGATATGACTTAACAGATGGATTTCATATTGCAGCAGCAGCAAGAGATTTGGGCGGAACCTATATTGGAAATATAGAACCTAATAGAAAAAAAGAAGAAAATGAATTAGATTCATCACCAGCAATTAATAA